TGGAAAAAGCAACACCACTTGTTGGTTATATTTGATTAATATTTGGGACACCCCTGGAACACGCCAATTTTGTAGCGGCAATGTCCTGCAAACGGCGACTATCTTTTGACAGAGTTGGTACAAACAAACCCTTTGAGGATTCGAACATGTTCGATGTTGTAAACGGGTTTAGAACAGACTTAGCACATACCAGTTTCGTAGCGGCGATACCCTGCAAGTTGTGCCTACATGTGACGGATTTGGTACAAGGAAACCCTTTGAGGATTCAAACATGGACGTTTGTGCACAGTGTAACTTGGAGCCTGCCATTGCTGCTTTGCAGCTATATTTATTATTATTATTATTATTATAACTGATCCTGCATTACTTCTTACTCTGTTCTTGACAGAAAGAAGAGCTGTGAGGTTTTGCTGAAGAACAAGTTGTTCCAACTGGTTGTGTGGCTAATCCAATCACACAGCTCCCACTGAAGTGATGACATCACATATCATCCCATTACTGCTGTCACTCAGAGAGAACAGTTACCTTTTACAATCCATTACAATCTTTTACGTGTTATTACAACACAATTGTTTTATGTGAATTGTATCCTTCCTTTGGTTTGTGTCTTCATACATTACATACGATTTTTACCATTGCATTAATATTAAACGTTTGATGATGAATTTTTGTTATGGAAAGTATCAAGCCTATTGTTGTTCCACTTATCCATTTTGAATTCACTTCGTTGTCATGTTTTCTCATGCCATGCGTTTTGTATTCTTTGTGTTGCTTCCCTATGGTTATTAAAGTGTTTTATCCACCTTTCTTTGCGTAATCTTATCCCTTAACCTTTGTGATCTGGGATTTAGAATATTACATACACACACAATCATGGTGGGAATGCATTGTGATTGCACCTTTCGCTTCATCACAGATTTACGTGTATGGACAGCTCCGATATATGTTTGATGGCTACAAATGTAGCTTTTAAATACCCCTCTCTCCCACAAGCCTTAACCAAGTACCTGTGGATCTCTTGGAAGCTAAACAGAATATGCCTTACGCCACTGGGACTGCTACATCTCCACTTCATGGCTACTCCATCATCTTTGGACTGGAAGCCCCTACCAGCGTTTACCCCTCTAAGATCCCCTGCGTCTCTTCTATCTACGTTGACATCTACTCCAGAGACGACAGTACTCCAATCGCCAATGGCCACACAGCACTTGCACCATCCTTGGCCCCAATGACCCAGAAACCAGCTTATCTGCAAGCGTACCATCTGTGATCAGTGCCGGCGCCAGTGCTCCCAAGCAGCTACACAGGACCTCCTAGATTTGGACCTTCGTTCATGAGCAGCAACACAATACTCCAGCACATCTCAGGACATCCAAGAGTCAAAGACTAACCTTGGCACCAACAACCTAGAGATTGGCCTTCCTGCAAGCGTACCAACTCTCATCAGCGCCGGCGCCAGTGCATCAGGTGCACTTACGGTGCCTCAAGGATTCGGACCCCCCCTTCCAGCTGGAGCCTAAAAAGCTCATCAAGGCTCCCCTATATGGATACCTCCTGGTTGCAGATGATGCAATACATGGGCGAATAATTTGCGATATTATTGCTATCACCGGTGTTCAAGACTCCTCAGTTCCATGCTTTGGAGTAGGGGCACAGCACAAACGTGGAATGACCTCGCAGACAGAAGTGAGCAGTAACACAATCTCCTTGCGGTTACATGCTCTCCTTTTACGGGCTTATGAGACCATCAGATTGGATCCCCCCAAGGGTCAACAACCCTCACAAGATCAGAGGAGTCGCTGGACTCTTGATTAGTTTTCACACAACAAAGGTCCAATGTTTTCATTAAGCCCTAGGCAGGACCTGGCCTCGTGGTGAGTCTTCTGTGAAAGTTCCAGCCAATGCTCCCTGTCAAATCAACATTGGCTGAACAATTCCATGGAGAGAGCGATAGTATTCTCGAAGAATTGCCTTCCTGTGACTTCTGGTAGACATGATCTGCAGCAAAAGTTGAAGATCCCAACTTCATGCCTGATTCAACATTTGACAGAATCGCCCTATGCTTCCGGGTACCCACCTAGGGATCATCGTTCACAACACAGGACCAGACGTCACACATTCCACACAGAAACACACAGTTCACAGGGGATTGTCTATGTGTTGAGCTTTGACTAATTGCGTGATTCCAGTTTACTGCGCAGGGTCATTTAAATGTCACATTTCAAGAACTCTCTGATTGTAAACATATCCACTCTCGAATTAGGTCAACTGACCTCTTCAGTGCCGTGCAGTATATTTGTTTGCATGCTTGCACGTAATGCTGCAACCACTGGACCAGACGCCTGTTGCTGCACATCAATGTGACAGAGTCACTAACTACAGTGGACATCCAATCATTCAAGATACCATGCCGTCATCATCACCTTGTGAGACACCTCCCTTCATCATCACCTCAATATCAGAATGAAAGTGCTCCAACTTCCATGAAATGATCACCTTACTTCGTACAGTGTGATCTTTCAGACCAAAGTTTTCCATATATTCAGCCTTATCTACTGGATGCAGCTTTGACTTCCCACTAACCGTTAAAATGCATCGGTGATCGGTTGAGAAGTGGGCTTATTTCGTCTACATGGGATTTGGCATATGCTGACTAACACAATTTTTCATGCATCGTCATGGCACGACATGAACAGAAACTCTCCAGAAGTGGAGGAGCTGAGATCTACTACACACATCCGATCCAACAGCTCCTGACACCTTTCATGGCTTATGTGTTGCTGTACCCCGCACCTCAGGAGCTGGTTGATGGTAGAGTCGTGTGTCTTAGGAAGCGTCTCCTAACAGAGTTATCCCTGGAGTCCCACCTGTTCATAGATGCCTCTACAGGTTGAGATGTGCATCAAGAGCACCAGACAACCTTTGGGCTGTGCACAGTACACTTGGCACATCAACAACTTGGAGTTGAAGGCGCTCAGGCGACATCGCACTGGCAGGAGCGCCTCCGGTAACTCAACCCACCATCTGCACAGACAACCTCACCGTGTTCTGATGCCTGTGCCATCAGGGGACTACTCACTCCCTCCTTCAACAGGCATTCCGGTTCATACATCTGATAGATTGGATCTACGTGTTCTGGTCCAGCACATTCCGAGATACCTGGGTAGGACTTATAGCGTTCGCTTTTCTGCCTCCAATACTCTTCCCAGGGTCCTTCAAGGATCAGGTCGACCCTTGGTAGCGTGCGAGGGGCTGTTTCGTGGATCTCAAAGAGATGTCTGCCATCGACCCCCTACCAGATTGGCCAACTTGCAGATCCACCCTCACAGCAAACGGCCCCAACTGGCTCCACACAGGTTACATCTACACGTTTAGTCCATCTGCAGAGAGCTCTAAGCACCAAGCATCACTTGGCAAGGGCGTCGAAGCCAATCACCTTGGTACACAGACCTTCTACCAGGGCCCTTTATGATGACAAGTAGCATTCCTTCAAGAGTTTCTGTAAGAAGAAACACCAGGATCCCACCTCTGCTTCACCTCAATTCTTGGTTGAATTTCTACTGTTTTTGCTCCACAAGTGTCGTCTGAAGGGCCATCACAACCTACCGTATGGCCTTAACTTTGTCTTGGCAGTTTCGGAAGATCGAAAGATGACCAGGATTTCAGTCATCATCTGGAACTCCTTTCATCTGGAAGACCAGAAGGTCAAGTTCAGACCCCCAGCATGGGCCACTCCATTCGGTGTCTTACTACAACCTCACCAAGAAGATGATCTTCCTCTTGGCTCTGAAAACAACAGCACCTGTGAGTGAATGACATCGACTGTGTTAGATTTGAGCTCAGAGCACTGTGATGTTTCATTTGATGCTCCAAGAATCATTGAGAACATCGTTACCGCCTTTTTATCCCGGTATCTACTACAGCCACAACACAATCGCTCTATGGCTTTGCACCATCATTCTTCAGGCAGCGTGACTGGACTCTTTGAGAGCCAACAACCCGAGATCTGGGCTCTCGTCTCTTCCATGGCGCTTCACAACTGCTCCATTTACACCATTATGGAAGGCTGCTTCTGGTGTTTGGTCTTCACCTACCACTACCAGCAAGATGTTGCCCTAGAGGAAGGCATCCACAGCTTTGGCCCTTTGGTGGTTGCCCAGCAGGTCATCACCACAAGACTCCACGGTGGCTTCCACATGTCTGGAGACGACCTTTCGACCTCTCCGGTGCATGTCACCCCAGACTAGAAGGTTACATGACGACATTACTTCCGTGGACACATGGGAGCTGTGTGATGGGATCAGCCACACAACAAGTTGAAACAACTTCTTCAGCAAGGCCTCACACTTCTCTTCTTTCTGCCAAGGACAAGCCGTAGATGCATTAAGGAGTAATGCAGGAAAAGTATTTAAATATAAAAAATATTTTATAGTTACTAGTTACTATAGTTAACTAGTTATACAGTTATATACTGCAGGTATCCAGGTTCTAGTATCTGCTCAAAAGCAGTTTTAGTTGTTCTTCAAACAGTGAATCCATTTGCATTCCAGTAATCATTCTCAGCTCCCAGAGGAGTATACAACCCAAGCTGCCTAACATTGAGTCAAGCTTACATTTTTAATGTTTGACTTTCTACATAACCACACAGTCATTGCCAATATGAATGTTCAATGTGCAGTATGTACTTAGGGATATGTGATAAGAATCAGATGATCATCGTATACCTGGTAAGGGGGATGCCATGGTAAGGGGGATGCCATGGTAAGGGGAATCAATAGTCTAAAAACATGATCTTGTGAAAGATCATAAAGATAAAGAAGTCTTTTAACTGTCAACCTTTTTTTAAACTTGTGTGAATTTTAGAATAATATATAACTGTTATGTAATGAAAGTATACATTTGAGTACCATCTTAACTGTCAGCTTTGTAATAAACACTGTTAACTGTATCAAAAATGAAAAGTCAAAAGTGATTCAAGCCTACTAAAGAATTCTCATAACCTTCTCTTGGATGCACGTGAAGATGTGACAACTGTGCCTGCTTTAGCTTGAGGAGGAGAGCCTTCAATCTGTGCAAGACTGCCACGGGGTGTTGAAATATTGATAGACTCAGCCTCAGCACTGCCACGCTTTCCAGAAACTGCAATACACACAAACCTTTATGCAAACTGTTCAAATTGATAAATATAGTGCAAATGCACTGTAGCTCACCTGGATATATAGTCAATAGCTTAAAATGTCAACAAACACAGCCACATTCAAATATTCCATGCATAAATACTGAGGACATTAAAAACTAACACTAAATTTTATAGATTTGCACAAGATATGATGCCCATCAAAAGAAGAAACATAATTTCAAATCAAAATATGCAATATGAGAGAATATAAAAGTTTGGTAAGGACAAAAAGGTTAAAACTAGTTAAACTTTAAAAATATCATGAAAAACGGAACATGTGTGTCATCTTCATCTTCATCTCCAAGGTCAAAATGATTATTTTCTCAACAAAACAGAACATACATGTTATGTTCCACAACCAATGACACATGTACAAGATGTCATTACATTTTGAACAGCTATATTGAAAATCAGATTCAAACTTTTTCAACAAATTCAATATTATAATTGATTGGAACAAAGGTTCTTCTGCACTGGTCCAGTTGGTTCTGAGATGATAACATGTAATGATGGACACTGGACAAGCAGGCAATGACATCAACTTTCAGCTAAAACAGCATAACTACTCACAACCTACTCAACAACAAGAGCTTATTAACTTATATAACCATTTCAGAAAAAAGAAAGGTTGTTGTGTTATGTGGTCTGGTAGAATGAGTGTAACATTCTTATTCTTTTAAAAAGATAAAAAGATATCCATTCAAACAATCAACATATATGGTAAAGCAGATTCTCTCTAATTTTCACACCAATGGTCACAAATACAGCCATTTGGCAACAGACAGAATTGATATTCACAATTTTTCTACACAAAACCTAAGAACTAATTGATAAATGTGAAACAAGTAATTTCACGTGGGTTTTATACTCTCGAGACCAGAAGTGATTTTTATAACAGCCAAGACCTGCAAACTATTTTTGATACTCGTACATATATTTTATACAAATATAAACCATCTAAGTTTTAGTTGGGTATATAATGTATTTTAAGACCATATGTTTTACGTTTGTGCAGTAACAACAAAACAATAGGATTCATGAAAATATTTATTAATAACATTGGCAATATATTAGGGGCTACTCGGTTGCTACATAAAAGACATACCCTGCGAGTATGAATGAAAACCCTGTGGGTATGAATGAAGAGGTAGAATGCTAGTTACCCTGTGGGTAATGAACAAGTCCTGAGACCGTGCAGGCCCTGGACTGTAAATTGGAAGAAAGGTACTTTGGGGGCCACGAGCCATTCCTATGCAGTATGCAGGGGATGGAATGACTTGTGAAGCCCAGCCCCTGGTTGCTACATAAATATATGAAACCAAATAGCCCAAATGGTGGAGACAGGGGATGGATGGTGGGTATCGCTGCAGCTGGTATAGACAATGACAGAAATAGGTAAACGATATCGAGGCTGTTGGGGTTAATATAAGAAAACATTGTGACGTCATGTCCCTAGTACTGGGCATGAGCAGAGGATAAGAATGGTGCATTGTGGGATAGCTTAAATGTAACATGATATAGATTATTTTTAAGGTGAGGGAATATGGAAGTGAGCTGGGAATTACTATGGTGAATAAAGTGATCTGTAAACGTAAGTGGATATGGGCAAATATATTTATGGCAGGACATGGCAGGGGACATTGTGAAACTAGGAACATGGGGAAATGTAGAGAATATATGTTATCACTGCACAAACAAAAATATAGAATTTACATTATGTGTAGTATAGTGTAGATCTGTGATATTTTGTATTTTACTTCTATATACATTAAATCTGACTTTCTCAAATAACATCTCTCTGTCAAAATAACAGATTTATTTCAGCTTATAACACTTCAAACTTATTACATACACAAACATTTATACTGAGTTTAAGCAAATCTAATGCAACAGATTCTGAGACAAATGATGCCTTGAATGCCTTAAAGGGACGGTATGTTGATGGTTCTGTGTGCTTTTAAATGAAGCATGAAATAATTTCCAAGTGTGACATCACATGTATGATTCAATTTACAATCCAAAACAATAGAGCTCTGCACTGTGAAGCTGACAATGTAAGCACTGCACAGAGTAAACAGGCTTCAGTCTCTTTTTTTTAATAGAGGCATATTGAAGAGAAAGCTCAAGTAATTTTCTAATGGCTGAGTTACAAAATACCAATTTCCAGCTTGATTAGATTAGAAGTCAGTGTTTATCAAAGCCTAGATTACAATATAAATATGCCTCAGTCGTATGAAGCCAATCACTCCCCTACCAAGTATTCGTTACGGCCAGGTCTTCAGTAACCAATGCTTGCCGTAAAAGGCGACTATGCTTGTCGTAAGAGGCGACTAACCGGATCGGGTGGTCAGAATTGCTGATTGGTTGAATCATGTCATTGATCCCAATTGCATGGATCGACGCTCATATCAATCAGTTGACTGTCTGGTCCAGACTCAATTATTTACAAACCTCCGTCATATAGCTGGAATATTGCTGAGTGCGGCGTAAAACAACAAACCAACTAAACCAACCAATCCTTGAGGCCAGCCAAGTACCGGGATCTGTCATATTACCAAGTCTTACACAGTCCATTCATGTGGTTTTCATCTGTTCCATTTTGGACAAGTCTACACATTTAGATACACATACGTCTTTAACCCCATTTAGAAAATATCCTGATATGTGAAATCTATTTCAAATTGCGTATTTATCCTCCATGATCTGTCATTGAAGCGCTACAGAGAGCGAGCAATACGGTCAATTTGCTGACTAAAGCTATATTGTATATATTGTAATATTGTAATACGTAAAGTTTTACTACACCAAATCAGAATCAGTCGTTCAACAAGCAGTTTTCGAAGAGAGCTTGAGTGCAGATAGAATCATCTCATTCTGGCAGCTGTGATTGGATAATTCTGTGATTTTGTATGTTTTTTACACGTACCAGTACATTCATCCAGTAATTTAAACTGACCATGGTTTTCTGTATTTAGTGCTGTCATTTTTAACATGATAATTATTGTTAAATGTGATCACAGATATTTTCAAGCAAGTGACATTTGTTCCAGAAATGTGTGTGTGTGTGTTTAGCTTCCTGTACTCGGAACAGGAGCTGGCAAAGCTCAGACCTGTCATACTGCAGAAGACTCCCAAAATTTGATGAAATCTCCCAGTCTCCCACATGAGACTATTTCACTCACAAAACAGCATTTTTCATTAATGTAAAATTTGCCTCTGCTGTCCTGTGAGCAAAAAGCAAAGAACAATGTGGAGTATTAGTGATTAGTGCTATAGTATATAGTACCAGGTGGTTTGTGCTATGACATAGCGGATGACGGTAAGAATAAACCCCATGTTCGTATCCCAAGGTCTTCATTAGGGCTGGGACCAGTCCAGATTTACTACCCGGGTACCAACATCCCCATTACCCAACCCAACCCGGGTACCCGCAGTAGGTCTCAAGAGATACCGATACAAAAATCAAACAATAGTTATCATTGTTAATAATTCTAAGAATACTACCTCTATTACATCATAGCCATAAATCCTGTATTTTGGCTGCAGACACACTATAACTAAATCTTCAGATTTTCCCCAAATAGCACATGTAGCTCTTCAGCTCTTCTGTGCAAAAAGGCGGGATAAACGTCACTTCTTTCCTGTGTGTGCTAGAGTCAACTTGGTATAGGTAGTCACACTGTTTAATTACTTACTTCAGAAATACTATATCATTTGGTTACAATGCGGCTGGATCAGGAGTCCGGAAAATTTAAAATCCCAATCGGACATTTGCATTTAGGCCACGCCCCCTTCAAATATTGTATTTTTGTATGACTTTTCACACACATTACAAGTTGTTACGTACAGTCTTCCCTCGTTATTGTGCGCTTCGGTTATAGCGAAAACATTATCAGCTGATCACCGCGATCATGTAACACCGGAAATACCAGTCAACAAATCCGAACTGAAGTGTGCTAATCCTATCATTATAATATCTGGTGATAAAAAAATTGTTCATTGTTTATCTGGACTAGAGTTTGCAATATATTTTATTAATTTTATTCAATATTTCATTTAATAATTAGATCTATAATGATGTTTAGAATAATTTCGGCGAAATCGTATGCAAAGAGTAGTATAGGTAATGACGGTTCTGCCGCAACCCCACTGGAGCTGGATTTATTTACCTATACCACTACTACAGGTGGCATTTTTTATGTGTAGTAGTATAGGTAATGATGGTTCTGGACCACTTCCACTGGAGCCGGATTTATTACCTATACTGCTACTACAGGGGGGATTTTTTATGCCAAAATGATTATGTGATTTAACGATAGTCATGAGATTAAGTTAAATTGGCTCTAGCTCACCAATACCTGGGGCCAATCATTGCTTTAGATGAGTCTAAATGGTAATAAAAATATTCTTTATTATTTTTATCGATAAAGCGATATTCAACATTTTTATTAAGTTCTTCGTTCATTTTACTAGGAGACCAGACTATATAACTTCACTCTTTTTGTAAATTGATAAGAAACATTTGATAACCGTATTTGGTTGGTTTGACATCACTGATATAATAAAAACCTTGTGGTAATTCTTTCCATTGAATAGCTTTCTCCATTATTATATATTTATGTTAGCATTTGTCTAAATGTAATCACACGATAGTAAACAATCTATTTTTAATCTCCAACCAGTTCTTTGGTTTTGGCACGGAATAATTGACACGCTTGTTGCCTCCCCTGTTCTATGAACTTTTTTTTCTCGTCTTCGCTAATACCACTGGTCTTACGAGATTTTGATCGAATCTCCTGCTTCATTTCATTGTATTTGGTGAGCTCCGACAGCACTAAACGAAACTCATCCTCGGATATCTTACAATCGGCCATTGCTGTCGAAATATGATCCTCAATGCTGTTCAACTTTGCTTCGGCGAGTATCCGAATACTATCGTGTTTTAATGCTTTCTTTTGTA